TTTGGACGCATCACCCTGCGGTCTTTGGACGCTGACGAAAGCGTTGAGTAACAGGCGAGACACCTGGCACCGACGGAAACTGCGTAGCATCCTCCGTGTCGTGTTCCCAGCAGAATTTGCAACACTGCGCCCTACGAACAGACAAAACAAGAACCCGTCAGCAGTGCTTGCGCAATTGCCGTCGTAGGCGCCTCCTCGGGTTTGGTCACGTCGTCCGCCAAGGTCCAGAGTCAACATCGTGCACGGCCCTGTAACTTCCTAAAACAACGTCCAATATCAAGAAACCGCGTGGTTGCCCTGTTACTCGTTGGGTTGACAACATCAGATCTGGTCTAAACTTGATCAGCATGTCCCTGCAAGAAGGAGACCAGTTAGGCAGTGATCGAAAAGTTTGGCTGAATGTTGCAAATACATACATGTAGATGCACTGACTCTCAGTGCATAAAAATTGATGAATTTACTGGATCTTAACTTTCCCCCGTCTCTGAATCTGTCCAGATAGCCCCTACTACTAGGTGCTATCCATTATACGTGCATGAGATTCGAATGCAGTTTCACCCAACTTATTCCTGCAGACAGATGCGTTTAACCCCATTATGTTCCATTTGGGGTACATACGAACTGTGTTTACAGACACAACAGAACAACAAGGACAATCAAGGCTTGTTTGCTGCTACTTTAAGTTTCATGCTCACGCAACCATCAGGCCCATACATACGAACTGTGTTTATTATGGTCGAGAGCCTCTTTTACGGGCAAATTAACACAACGGTTTAAAAATGCAATAAATCATACACTGGAGAAGAAATCAGAAAAATGCATGTGTAAAATAAAGAATTTCAAACCCAAACCAAAAAACTTCAAATCAAGTTTGTTATAATTAAAAATAAAACTCAATTCAAAAGGAGAAAAACAATAACAAAACAACGAAACAACACAAAAAACACTGTTTATTAGTATTATTTCAAATGGTGAACGGTACTATTCGGCCAATAAAACGTAAAGAACGCTTCCTCTCCTCTCCTCCATGCGCTCTCACAGCCGACTCACTGCTAGCCCTTTCCCATAGGTGCTCTTTTAATTCGCACTTAGTGCTTTTCGCGTCCCACAAAATATGCTGAAAAAAGTGCTCTTTTTTCAGTGAAAACAGGCAAAAAGTGCTCATTTTTCAGTGAAGCATAGCCATGATACAAGTTCAGATATGAACTCAAGCTGAGAAATGAATACGCACTCTTCCATTTATGGGTCCACGAAAGGCAAAACAGGAAATAAAGTAAAAAAAACCACTTTTTACAGCATTGTGTACACCGCGTAAGGTACAATCTTCACCAACTTGTTGCCCCCCCCCCCAAAAAAAAGCGGCGTGCCAAGGCCCTTCGAGCACTCGGAAACTGTGATCGAGGCAGCCTCCACTCTCTTTGGCCGCATTGCAGGCATCAAGTCTGAGAAGAATGGTGAGCCTTTCTCTGTGGCAATGGCTTTGATCAGAGCCCAGCTGTCCTTTGCTCTCGTGAAGGCGGCCGTGGCATGCCTTCGTGGGCATCGCCACAAGTCGAGCAGGTATGACCCTCATGCATATTCTGCCACACTTGCTGTCTCCGAGTGTCATCTGTAGACAACCTGTCTGTTTCCCCTTTTCTCTGTATCATTTTGTATGTTATAATTTCCGCGGATTCCAGTTTTTCTCCCTTCATTATAATTTAAGCGCAGTTTAGCGCGTATTGGCTTATGATTTCTTTTTCTTCTGTTTGTATTTAGCGCTTGACCGGTTATTATTTTCCTTCTCTTTATTTTGCGCTACATATTATTATTTTTCTGGTATTATAAACTTTGGACAAGTCAAAAAAAAAAAAAAAAGAAAAAAAAGAAACTGTGATCGCATGCATGAGCAAACAGATTTTAGCACTTTTTCAGCTATTAAAAAAGCTAAAAAACGCAATAAAGGGCGAAAGAAACGGGCTTTTCCAAAAAGGGCCAAAAAGGGCGAGCACCTTTGGGAAAGGGCTACTCACTGCTACCCTCGGTAGCCATTACACACACCAACAGCCATACAAGGAAGGGTTGCAGGTAGATACTGAAATTCCTCCTGACAGCTGTTTCGCCTTCATAAGGCTCATCAGAGAAGGTGATATTGAATAGGATGATATCTGGTGGAGATGGTCAGATTTATACTACAAAACATGGGCACAAGATTACCGGCAAAGTGTGAGAATGAGAAGTCACAATAGGGCTTGAAAGTGATGACGTCAAAACGGCCAGGGAGTAGTAAGTAAGTTGACATCAGATTTCTATTTTTGGATCCACTAAGGTGTGACTTTACTATTGCCTAAGTATGTGGGTGCATAGCAACCCACTCATGTCGCATGAAGGTGTGACTTTTATTTCGCCACCAGTTGTAACCCCGCCCCCAGTAGCCAAATCAGTCAGTTTCACTGGCTACATCACCATGCTGTGGGTAAGACCGCTTGAAATTTGCTTGGATCCATACGAAAACTGGATCCAAGTGGATCCAGTTTTTGAATTTTTGAAATTGTTGCTATGCTGTGACGTAGCACTTTCAAGCCCTATTCTCCAGCAACACAGTGCCGGAGGTTCCAAGAAAATGGCAGGTGAGAAATCCAATCACGAGCTGCTAACACTAATTTTCTAACGGCTAGGTGATAGTTTAAGAATTTTGGCGAGCCACCAAACAAAGTGAAAGAAAGTCATGTAGAGTAGAGTACCAAGCGTGCAGTGCAGCAAAAGCAAGTTACAAAGAGTGCACACACGCATGAATGGACTGTAGTTACATGTACTTCACACTTGGGCAGTTCGCCAGTCAACCGCGCAGGCATGCAGAGACGCACCACGTCGACTGTTCCCGCAGAGTCCCCTCCGGTGTAGATCGACTCCCGAGCAACAGATCTCCGCCTCTCATTTCTGCTTTCGTCACGCTCGGCCGGGTTGTCTCTACGTTCAACGGCAGCGAGCAACGGAGTCGCAAGTGGGGACAGCGCGAGGTAGCGGTCGGTCCGGCAGCAAGGTGTGACGGTCAGTCTTTACTTGAACCTCCTACTTGCCACGATGTTTCTACCAGGTAGTAATTGTTACAAAGCCAGACACGACGCTATCATCCGCTGGGTGTAAAAACTCTAGTTGGAAAATGAATCGCTGGAGCAAAATACCGGTGGTTGCCTGCTTTCTTCTTCCTGGGTGAACAGGGTCTCAGTTGAACCTCCGATTTGCCGTAATGTTTCTCCCAGGTACATGTAGTACAAAGCCAGGTACAACAGGCGTCCAAACCAATCCAAACACACGATAACTCTAGCCTTGTTGCTTGGTACATGTTAAGACAGTTATTGATTATTTTTAAAAAGTAGGCCGACAATAGTCATGTACGATAGTCATGTACGTACGCGCAGTTGGCGCTCAAGAGCTGAAATGAGCTGGCATGAAGCGAGTGGAAACTGCTGCAGAGTGCAGCGATCTGTAGATCGTCACCAGAACTGCAGAAGCATGCACTCGCACCTGTAAACGTCTCACTAAGTCGGTTGAGGAATAATCGTCACTTTATTAGTAAAGAAGCTGTTTTATACAGTAAAGTAGAATAACAGGTGCTAAGGGTAGCCGTGAATAGTAAGTCACCGTTAGTAAGTGCTAGAAGTAACACAAGGTGTGGAACTGATAGGCGCGCTCAACCTGTGCAACTGATAGGCGCGCACAAGCTGTGCAACTGATAGCCTAGTGATAGGCGCGCACAAGCTCTACTGTGCAGCGATAGGCGCGTACAAGGTGTGTAGTGTTAGGAAGGCAGAAGAAGATGTAACGGTTACAGCACCGGTAATGTCGGCCGGGCTGGGCGAAAAGGAACAGTCGACAGCGAGTTATACAATGTACATGTACGTACGGCGAAAAGTACTTTCGCTGCGATCGAGCGCATGGCGCAGTGGACCACTCGTAGTGTAGATCTACAATACATGAAGTGTGTGGATTAGGGAGTCGAAGAAAGGTTAATTATTTATACGACTCCGTCGTACCGTGTGGATGTTCGTGCACAATCCAGCGCGACGCAAACGTCGAAAGGAAATATTGTAATGCTAAGGTTTGTAGCTGCATGAAACTCCCTGGTAGCAAGGTCCATCAGCTAACCCCTGACTTTTTTGTGTTAGCAATCTCAGGCTGCATCCGTTGACCACTGAACTGTTCCAGAAAGTGGCCTTTCGAACTTTCGAATTCCCAACCTTTCAAAAAGGTTGCCCGATTGTGATTTGCTAGAGAGTACAAAGATGAAAGTATCTGATAGAATTTGTCGTCTGTGGATGATGCGCACTTCCCATGCTTGGCCATTGCTACTGCTGCTTCCGTGTCTGGCTTATGTGGCAAATGTAACAATTCATAGGTCGGAATGGATCCCGCGGCGCCGAGACCGAAGTGAGCAGCGTCCTGAAATACGTCCAGCCAGCCAGCGCAACCTTCTGACAGTGAATAGTCAGCAAGAAAGTAAAACGACTAGCAAAGGATTACACCGTTTTAGTTTGGTTGGAAGCCAAACAGTGCAAGTGTCCGGGCAGTGGTACCGACAAGGAAAGCCCTTTCACCAGCTATACATCAGACAAGTGACGTTTGCCTTCAGAGCTGCTCGCCTCACCGGAATTGCACCGCTTGTGCATGCTCAGTTGCTGCGTGGAATCTTTCATTCGGACCAGGAGCAGTACGTTAGTGTGTTTCTGAATGGCAGCCACGTTTCATTACATCTACAGCTTGGTGTGTTACACGATAGGAATCTGATGCAATATACAGTAGATTCCGACACGATCATCAAAGTCGGTGTGTGGTATGTTGTATGCCTATGTATTACCGAACGTCCAACTCTCAACATTCTGAAACTGCAAGAAGGTGAAACACAGATTTTGGATTGTTGCCCAAAGCTACAGAAAGCATCGTTGGGGACAATCCCCGCAGCACTTGGTGTATTGGTAGACTCCGGTGTGTATTTTGGAAACATATTGGACACAGCTAATATGCCTGGTCTTGCGTCTAACGCCATGATCAAACCATTTAAAGGTGCGGTGTACAGCCAAGTTTGGATTAACAGAAACGCTGTCGATTTGCGAACGGCCGTGTGTGGATCTATCCCGGAGGAGTGGAGGAAACAGTTTTCCAAGATCCGTCTAGACCAACCCATCCAGGTAAACAGAAAGTCACGAAACACCAACCTCACCGATGAGACATTCCAAAGCTTTCCGGTCATTGGCGGAGTCAGCGGCAACCATGTTCGAGAAATCGAAGATATGCTGAGTTCTGTCGCTGTTACAATGCCCAAAAGAGGAATCATCATTTATGACATAGGTATGTCCAATGCCAAGAAGATATTCTTGCAGTCACATTGCAACGTAGCAGTGAATAGGATTCGAATGGATCTCTTTGGTGATCTGGTGACACACATTCGGGACTATCAATGGAAAGCACTGTTGGTCTACTCTGCCTTCCTGAAGTTCGACGGCGTACTCTTTTCGGATGCATCCATCCGATATAAGCATTCGCTGGATGAACTGCCGCTTGTCCGCAACGGCGTTGGATACATTGGAATGGAAGTGAGGGACTATTCTCCAGCTGGTGCATTCACACATGACGGAATGCTGGAAGCTTTTGGTGTTAGCCGGGAGTCAGTGGCAACGTCACCAACGGTGATTGGAGGATCCCATATCTGGTTTAAGCAGGGAGGTGATGTGGCTTCCACAGTGCTGACACACTTGGTGGCCTGTTCGATGAGGAAGGCGTGTATCGCACCGGAAGGAGCCACGCTTCCTAACTGCAACAAGACCGAAAGGCTGTCAGGTCGCTATATCGGCTGTCATCGCTTCGATCAAAGTGCCATAAGCGTCGTCACTGAGAAGGCATTTCCCAAGGGTCTCTCAAATGAACAATGTCTTATCGAAGCACTAAATTTCATTCATGTCAGGCGGAGGGGAACTGGCATGTATCCTCCTTGCATTCGCAATAGTTCCTTGAGTCCAGAGTTGGTTTGATCGTGACATATCCTTTTCTCCACGTAGAATAGACGGTCATATCCATTCTTCGTATTTATTTCACTCCATAGTACAATCGGTGTATCAACACTGGCGAGTGAGCACTGTGGAGTGATATCGCAATGTGGTACATGTTAATACCCCTCCGTTTTGCTCCCCTTTCCTTTTTCACCCCTCTTGTGAATTTCTAAATATTAGGTTAATTAAGAATCTTTAAATATCAGTTGCATTTTTCGACTGCCCAGAACTTGCAGTTTACAATAATAAAATGATTGCTTTAAAAAAATGTTATAAAAGAGAGGACCATAAGTTTACAAGTTATCTACTTTGTTCAACACTAACGATTATAATCAGGATAATGGTGAGTCAAAATTTGCAACAATTAGCACAAAACTGACTGAGGTGATGCTGTGATACTGACGTTGAACGACCTGATGCTTAGCAGCATCACGTCTGGAAAGAATCTTCCGACTACACCTGTTCTACATATTTTAGGTCCATTATACCCCCCCCCCCTACTCCGATCATTTGTTGGATCTTGACACATTCGAGTTCCTGAATTATTTAATGTATCGATTTCATTGTATTGTATTACTTTTCAGACATCAATCCTGAGTGGCGTAAGCGAAAGTGGCACCCCAGCCATCTACGCGGACATGCTTTTAATAATAATAACAACAATATGTCTTGCAGATATACATGTAGCCTTGGAGCTGATGAAAATGATTCAAATGAACTACATTCGATTTAGAAGTGGTATACCCAAGAGGACGCCACTTGAGAGTGCGCAAGGCGCCTCTCTTTAAAAAGTAAAGTTCGCACATCCGCAACCGGCTGTGCGTTGAGAAACACACTTTTGTAGGAAGTTTCGTGCCAGGCCACCAGTATGCCGGTGATGCCAGGGCGGCAGACGCAGCGCCTAATAGGCGATTCAGACTACGGCCAAAATCACGTCTGAACTTGAATTTCCATGGTGATGCAGCCGTGTTTCAAAAATTTATGTACGATCGCTGATCAAATACGCCTGAGTCGTAGAAACGTGGTCACAGTAGGCTGTAGTCTGAATAGCCTATAACGCAGTAACGGCAAGGATGAGGTGGTAACTCTCACAACCAATGCCCGACAAGGGGCGAACCTCGAAGGGTAGCTGCATCCATTATAATGTTTACCCTTACTCCCAGTGAGTCCGTACCCAGTAATAAGGCCGCGACCACAATACGTGAAAATCACAGTACAAATGTTCGTGCATAATTCAGTACAAGTCGGTACGCAAGCACACTGCACTTTTCGGTCTGCATACCGGTACATGTTGTAGATGAGTTTTCTCCCATCAGTTCACCAAATAGACTAGAATGTGAGCAGTGAAAACGTGCCATATTTCTGTGCACACAGCTGCCAGAGAGCCGTAAGACTGTGCTAGAGGTAATCTGCGGCCATCCCGTGCAATGCTTTAGTGCTCTCTGCCAGTTTGATGCTAAATTAGTCATGTTCTGTTGATTCAATATTCTCACCACTACTAGATTGTCAATCATTACAAGTGCCCATTCTTTCACAACTTAGTACTTCTAACGTACTAGGGGCGAGGCGTCCTGCAGCTTCATAACTCAAAGAGACGGGATAGGCACACGTGTATGCTCTTTCCCTGGACAACACCGAAAGTCACAACTCAGTTCACACTACAGTCTCATTTTCTTTAGTGTTTCTGCTATTCACAACAAAATTCACGGTTCGCGGGAGACTCGGCTAGAGACCAAGTTTTTCGCATCCGTAGGAACGCCACCACCCTTCAAGGATCAATGCGCAAATTCAAATAGGGTTTCAAATGTGCTAATGCTGCTTAGAAAATTAATAATCATAGTAACATCATTAATTTTAAGGTTAGTGCATGATGCCTTGAATAGCATATTAAAAGGTGTTGCCATCAAGTCTTGGATAATGGAGATGTTATCGGCCATCATGAGGTCCCTCAGGAACGGAGAGACAAATCACTTTCAACATAAATTAAATGATCCTGACGTAACTGGCAACGGGGGGATTATTAGATGAGAGCGATAATAGAGCTGTGTATAGCCTAGTTATCATTGTCGAGGCAGCTTTCCATGATTGGGTGTCTCATGCGAGCGGACATGAAAACTTCAGCGCTTAAAATTGATCATCTCGTTTCGATATCACTACATGTATTTCTAAAGTATAACTGAGCATGAAAAATGAACAATCAGACTAGGTCTTTCCTTTTGTGATGCGTGGTTGGTTTGGCATGCATAGAGAAACTGAATTGAAGACAATTACAGTATCTAGATATTCAAGATGAACCCAAGTCAGTGCGTAGACAAATCGGATGATATTCAGTTACCCTGCGTCTAATGTCAACCAAATAATGGGCCGGTATAATGCACCGCTCATTCGATTGGCCGTTGGGAAATATCTTCTCCGTGATGACGCTCAAGGCACTTTGATCAAAGCGATGACAGCCGATATAGCGACCTGGCAGCCTTTCCGTCTTGTTGCAGGTACCAAGTGTGGCGCCTTCTGGTGCGATACACGCTGTTGTCATGGAGCAAGCTAGCCAGTGCTTCAGCACTGTGGAAGCCACATCACCGCCCTGCTTAAACCAGATACTCGATCCCCCGATCACCGCAGGCGACCTTACCACTGACTCCCGGCGAACACCAAACGCTTCCAGCATACCGTCATGTGTGGATGAGCCAGACGGAGACCAGCTACGTACTTCCATTCCAATGAATCCAACGCCGTTGCGGACAAGCTGCAGATGGTCCAGGGAATCCTTAAATCGAATGGATGCATCAGCCCAGATAGCGCCATCGAATTCCAGAAAGGTGGAGTATATCAAAAGGGCTTTCCACCGATAATCATGAAGGTTGGCCACCATATCAGCAAATAGGTCTCTTCGAATACCTCGAACTGTTACATTGCAATGTGACTGCAAGAAGAACTTGGATTTATTGCTGATTCCCATGTCGAAGAGGATGATTCCTCGTTCGGGCATTTTAGCAACGACTGAACTCAGCATGTCCACAATTTCTCCAGCATGGTCGTCGCTGAGTCCTGAAACGACCGGAAAGCTTTGGAATGTCACATCGCTAAGGGTTGTGTTTCGTGATTTATTGTTGATCTTGATCGATTGGTCGAGACGTATCTTGGAGAGCTGTGTCCTCCACTCTTCTGCAATATATCCACGCACGGCCTTTCGCAAATCAACAGGCTTTCTGTTTATCCGAACTCGCTGGAACACCTCGCCTTCAAAGGGGCTGATCGTGGCATTTGGTTCGAGACCAGGCATATTAGCTGTGTCCAGTACGTTTCCAAAATACATACCGGAGTCTACCAATACACCATGTGCTGTGGGGAATGTCCCCAAAGATGCTTTCTGTAGCTTTGGGCAACGATCCAAAACCTGTGTTTCACCTTCCTGCAGTTTCAGAATGTGGAGAGCTGGATGTTCGATAATACATAGGCATACAACATACCACACACCGACTTTGATGATCGTGTCGGAATCTACTGTATATTGCATGAGATTCCTATCGTGTAACACACCAAGCTGTAGATGTAATGAAACTTGGCTGCCATTCAGAAACACACTAACGTACTGCTCCTGGTCCGAATGAAAGATTCCACGCAGCAACTGAGCATGAAGAAGAGGTGCAGTTCCGGTGAGGCGAGCAGCTCTGAATGCAAACGTCACTTGTCTGATGAATAGCTGGTGAAAGGGCTTTCCATGTCGGTACCATTGTCCAGATGCTTGCACTGTTTGGCTTTCAACCAAACTGAGACGAGGTGATTCGTTGCCAGCCGCTTTACTTCTTGACCTGAGCTCCACTCCTCCATTGCTTTGTCCCGGCGGGTGTGCGGTGAGCATGAACTTCCATCTGCGTCTGAGCTCCATATCACGACGGCTTACATTCCACGGCAGGACCGCGTACAAATATATCACGATAAGAACAGCGATCAAGCCCACCAGAATCGGTTGAAGCCTGCTACGTGTCTGCATGACCTTTGCCGACATAAACAGCGTTGAAGACTAGTTGCTCTGAGAAAGAAGTCTCGCCCAGGAAGACGAGCGCAGAAACAGCATTAGCAGCGATGAACGATGCTGCACAGTCTAGAGCAAGATTCCGGTACCAGTGACACAAAACTTATTAATCGCACTGGTTGTGCGAAACATCTGCATTCCACGAATGCGTGTCTGTATGGGTGCCAGGAATGTGCATGGGGAAGAATACATTTTGTTGTGCGATGTCTATGGGGCAGTTTCAGGAGAGTATTATTCGCGGAATCTGCCACCACTATGCCTCTACGCCTGAGTGGCGAATGCAGACCTCGCCAGCGAGTCGGGGGAGATAATTTTTGTGCCAAGGACCGCCCTATGACGTTTGAGATCAAAATCAAGTGGTTAGTTATTACGTTTCAAAGTCACGTGACTCAAAGTTACGCGAAGCGCAGAACTCATCACTTTTGTTTTGACAAGACTCAAGAGCTGTCCTCTTGTTAGGTGTTCGGTGAAGACAATAGGATTCCGAGCGATTGTCGAGTAACTCAAGAGGCTCCACTTACTGTGATTGATTATGGCTACAACATCTAGTAGACGACGCGACGCAGCTCGATTCTGTGTGGAGTCCCTGATGCGAAGGCGCTTGAATCGGATGACGAGAATTTTTACGGATTCAGCGCTGGCAGCCGCGAGTCGTCCGCGAGCGATTCCGACACCGATGCTGACAGCGACGGCGATGATATGCCACCCAGAAGAAGACAGTAGAAGAAGTCACAGCAAGCTCGAATGCTGCTAGTAGTGAGGTTTTGCATTCCGAATTTCGGTTCGGCGTTCTTCGGTCATTTGTCGAACATCAAAATGTCGAATTTTCGCTCCAACGTTTGTTTTGCAAGTCGACAATGATGTGTTTTCATTTCGTGAGCCCCAGCATCAGCAACGTCCTGTCCCGTGCTCCCTTTCTTGCTGATTCCAACGAACTTTGATCGCC